GTACAGAAAACATTGTATTTTCAAGGCCTTCCCACAAAAAATATGGGAAAGAATCAAGCACACATGCAGGAAAAACCTGGATACACAAGATGGGAACTTACTACCTTGCTTACATAGAAAGGCTGCAAGCCAGTGCACACTGCCTGCTTGGTGCCTTAAAAAATACCAATCATCCACATATGTGTCTGTTCTCTACCCAATAAATAAACTGCCTTTATTCTCAACCTCAGTCTGATCAAACTGAAACTCTGGATTATGCATTTTTCTACATCCACTTTTTGCATTACAAATCAGCTTGCAAATAAAGAATAACTGTTCGCTGGAATTTTAGACTGCATGTAATTTCTTCCCTAGAAAATGTTTCACCCCTTACTTATTTGGTATTGTCAGATACAGCCAATCAGTGTGATTTTTCCTCAGAAAACTCCCAACCATTACCATATCCCAAATCCTCCCTACTGCACGTCTCAATATATCATCCAATTAACCACAAACTTGGCACTAGAGCAGAGTGACCGAAGCACGCAGTGACTCTGCCACATTTCTGATGGGCATTATTTCATTGCAGGAATAGAACAAGGGATAGGAAAGCTCTCAGAGATTTATTCCCGAGGAACAGGACTCAAGGAATCCTATGAAAGACAAGTTCTTGTGCCAGAAGTACATCAAGGGCCTTTCTTCTGCTATGTCATGTGTGGTGGGTGTCCAGGGACATCACCCTGACTGCCACAAGCTGCCAAAGCTTTCCTGCTGCGGGGGAGCAGGGATTGCTCTCAGAGTATCCTGGCAGCAGTGCCCTGGCTTTGCCATCCCTCCCTTCCTGCAGGAACACCCAGCTGCTTTCACCTCTCCTCTCCGAGCAGCTGAGGGGAGCAGAAATGGGGCTACAGCAGCTGGAGACTCTGCTCCACATGCACATTCAGCTACCACCATAAAGAGAGAACCACTGACTGCTTTTAGGACAGAAACAATTCTGTAACAACCTGCACAGATACCAAAATTAAACACTCAGATCTGACCACTAATTCCACTTCTGATGAAGCATACAAACTCCTTCACAGATCAGCATGTGCTCTGGTACCATCAGACCCAACTAAAAGATGCTAACAACTCCACCTGCTTGTAATTCAGTAACAGAAGTACTTCAGTATTTAAAAGCTACTAATTACAACTTAGTTTTTCCAGATTCTGTTACAGATTTTATAATATCAATGGTTTACCCTAAACAATTAGTCACAGCCCGCACAGAACTAATATTCTATCCTTACTTTAATCATATATGATGCAATACCAGGATGAGATTTTAAAAAACAAACACATTAGCAAGATTTGCCTTTTAGATTTTCACTCCCCAGCTTGATGGTAACGAGTTCTGCCATTCTGCTCAAAAGCAATAAGAAACTGTACTTTTTACCAGAATGTGAGCCTCTTCTAAAAAGCTACAATGACATTTTGAGAACTTGTGTTTATTGTCAAAATAACTACAGATAGTTTAAGTTTTCAAACAGTATTAACTTCTTCCATTTGTCCTCAAGAGCTGTGGCTCAAGCTAGATTTATTCCTGTTGGTCAGAGAGACCAGCTGCCTCCTCTGCTATTGATATACACACCCATATTCAGAATATTAAGCAAGCTGTCAAGGAGAGTTGCACGCTGTGCCCACGGGAACACAACGCTCCTTTTCCTGTTCTCCAGCAAAAGGTTGTTTTTAGAGTGAAGGTGATGGGGCCACCAAAAACTACAAACAAACCAGGACCATGGAACAGCAGGTTACCTTCACGCTGCTGATCTGATTCCAATCACACAGCTGCTTCCAGACGGGACGTGCAGCTTTAACTGGAGGGCAGCAGAATTTCACCTGCATTTACTGCCACAGTACTCACTGTTTGCGAGGGGCTGTTTTCTCTGAGCACTGCAACTCCCTTCCCATCAAACATGGGTCCATCTGCCACCACACAGCAAACTGAGGCAGCAATGCCATGCCCATTCCAGTTCCTTTAGGAATCGTGCCAGCCTTTATTACAGAAAAGGGTTAATGTTCAGCTGCGTGCCTCGCAGGTAGTCTCCAGTGAAGAGCCCCGTTTGATACCTGTAGGAAGCTGCCATTTTTGCATCTCATATTCCATTTGTGAACAGACCTTTTTGTTCTTTAATCCAAGTTCTGAATTATTTAATCCTGTCTCCAACACTTGAAACATCTTTCGCTATAAACAAGGGGTTATTTAGCGAAAGGAAATAAATAATTTAAAAAGTCAGACCCTAAAGTGTTCCTGGCTCTGTTTTTAATTAATATTGATACAATCTGGAGAAACCTGCTGCTTAATATTACAAGGCAGGTCGAAGCTCATCAACAGTTAAACATCTCCTTCTAACAGAAGGTGGAAGAGGAAGTTGGGAGCAGCCGGGTACGCGGCGCTGGCTGCCGGCGATCGGGGACTGCCCAGTCCCAGCTCCTCACAACTTTCCCATGCACACAGAGCTTCAAAGCCCTCACACCCTGAGCTCCACGAGCTGGAGTTCTGCAGGGCTCAGGTGGAATTGTGTTAAGCATAAATCCTCCAGGCTTTCATGCTGGAACAGAGAGTACGCGGAAGTATTTTTATTTTCTACAATTCCACGCTCGAAATACGTCAGCGCAAGCGAAGGACGGGGACGGAGGGAGGCATGGACAGTTCTGTGGGACTGAACTTCATCCCTGGGAATGATAGTTTTTATAGCACATTGCTTCATCTGCAAGTGGGAGTAAATATTACACTACCTCTTCGTGCAGATGGGTGGGTAAAAAGAAAAAATAAAAAGCTAATTTGAAACAAATTAACTATTCTGCATACGGAGGAAGGTATTCTCGCCCTCCCCGGTCACTCCAGGGCTCTCTGCAGACAGAGTGCATGCAAAGTTAACAAACTCTGTGCTGCTCACAGCCTGCCTGCTGAACCTGCCAACAGGTGAACAGCCTCAATCCGCAGCACGGATAAATAATCACCAGTCCTCAAAAGCAGGTAATGAATATTGTTCAAACAACTCTAAGCTGGCGTTACCAGAATGCTTCAAAGGAGAAGCTACAAGCTGTTCAAGTCAGACTGTCACATTTAGTCTGCAAAAACGAGATTAAGGTTTGTACAGTGATACTCCACAACAGGTTTTACAGTATGCCCAGAAATTAAATTATTATAAAAGTGAGCTATTTTTTACTAAAAACAGAATAGAACAATCTATCAAAATGCCATTTGGCTGTGTTCATTACATTTTAGAATTTAATTTACATGATAGATACTTTAGCATAATATGTTTTAATCAATAAGCATTTCTGAAGGCTTTATTTTTATAGGCAATATTTAGACTTGTTCACCGTTAAATGTAACGCCACGGCAGCGATGTTCAGAGCGTTTATTTTCCTATGCTAAGCAAGTACAGCCACACGTACACAGAGGCAAAAGCAAAAGTCCACAATTAGAGATGTCAGACCTTGTTTAACTACATCTTAATTTAATCCATTTTATTTTATACAATTCTACATCTGGATCTCATTTTCTGTATTCCTGTAGGTATTCCGGGTCACTATTAAGAACCCTTTCAAGTTAGCAAAGTTCAGCCAAATCTACCTTAATCCAAAACCTTTAAAAGAAACAATAAAACGCGAAGGGGGTGGAAGACGACAGAGAAACCTGAAACAAAACGCTACTTCACCCCACCTCCTAATGCACCTGAAAGTCGGAAGGGACCGGCCTCCCAGCACAGATCCCACGCAGCACTTCCCCTTTCGGGGGCAGCTGGGGTGGGAGTTTTGAATATTATATATATATATGTATTATATTATATCGCTCCCGCACGCCCGGCCGAGGGGAAGGGAGGGCGGCAGGAGCCGGGTCCCGCTGCCGGCCCCCTGCGAGCATCCCCTCACCTCCAGCGGGAATGCGGCTCTGCCCAGCATCAGCGCACCATCCCTCCGCCTGCCGCAGCCTCCGGCCGGCTCCACCGCCGCCTCCGCGGGGGCCAGGGTGGGCAGCCGCCGGCTTTCGAGCCAATTTATTTAAACGGGAGGCAGCGGCGGGTTTGGAGAGGCAGGGCAGCGCCTTCCTGCGCCAATCAACTGGGAGACACGCGTGTTGCAATCCCATTCACGGCGGGAGCAGCACCGATACAGCGTCTGACAACCCCCCCGGCCCGCCCCGGCCTTATCTGTAGCCCGGCAACTCAATTAAACCGTGGGGCCGCAATTCCCCCGGGGACGCTCCCCCGGGGCAGGGGGAGGGAGGCCGGTCTGCGAGGACTTTCCCTCGCAGGAAATGGCACTTCTGGGCTCTCCCGAGCCAGCACAGTAAAGCATCAATATTCCGCTCATCTGTCAGATCCTGGACAGCAGGAGAGGCTGGAGAGCCCGTGAATTATGTAACGTGCCCTCCCGCCGCCGCGGGGAGATGCGCCGCGGTGCCCCCGCCGGCCGGGACGCCCCCGCGCCCCTCCCCGCGCCCGGCGCCGCCGCTGCCCGCCCCCAGCCCCCGCCGCTCCGCGCCTGCACCGCCAGCCCGCCCGGCGCCCCCACACAAAGTCCCAGCACTCGGTAAACTTTCCCCGGCTCCCGGCGGAGGAAAAGCGGCGGGGACGCGGCGGCGGGAAGGGGGCAGGCGGCGGGGAGGGAGAGGGAGGAGGCGGGCGGGGGATGAGCGGCGGCCGCCGGGAGTCCCGCCGCGCCCGCCGCCCCGCACGGCCCCGCCGCCGGGGGGGAGCGCGGAGCGGGGAAAGAGCAGCCCGGGACGGAGCGGGCGAAGCGGCGGCAGCCCCGGCAGCGGCGGCTCCGGCGCCATCTTGGGCTGATCGATGAATTGAACAAAGAGGATCAATTTCCGATGGGGCCGGTGATCGATGGCGGGGGGGGCGGAGGGAGCGGAGCGCCGCGGCCGGGCGGAGCGGGGGGTTCCCTTTAGGCGGCGCGGGCCGGCAGCGGGAGGAGGAGGGGGAGGCCGGGCCCGAGGGAAGGCGGAGAAGGGAGGGAGGGGGGTCCGGCGGCGCGGCCCGGCCGGTGCGGCGAGCGGGGGAGCCTGACCTGCAGCTGCTGTAAATCAAAGCGCTTCCAATATTGAAACATCGATCCCACATTGGCCGCCATCTTGAGACATATTGAGACAGAGTGAGCGGCTGATAGAGAGAGAGGGGCTGGAGTTCAGGAGCCGGGAGGGAGGGGGAGGGAGGGACAGCCGCGCGGGGCGGGAGGGGTGCGGGTTCATGGCAGCGCATCGCCCGGCAAATGGTGCCCGGAGCGGCGGCGGCGGGAGCCCGCTCGGGGAGCCGCGGGGCTAAAATTAGCCAAGTGCAGAGAGTTTTGGGGAAACAACAATGAAAAAGTGCATCGCGGGCAGCGGGTTCCCGGTGTCCGGGGCGGTCCGGGAGCGCCTGGAACGGGATCTCTTCAGCGCGGACAGGCGCTCCCTGCCAGGGCCGGTGCCGCTGCCGAGGGGAGACGGATCGCACGGAGGCTGGAAATTCAGATCCCAGCCCCGCGCAGGATAGCCATAGAAACGGAGATTAAAAGGATGGGATAACTTATTTTGTTCTAAACAATAATGTTGCTATAAATACGAACATTTTCCTTGTTCCCTTCCTGGAAAGCAAAGAATATTTTAACAGCTCATCTCCTAACAAAACAAACCAGCCTGCAGATACCTTGCACCCCTCGAAATCATTCCCTGTTTTTACTGGGAAATGGGCAAACCCACGGTCTGTACCTGTCCCCTCTGGAATCAATAAAGTGCACGGTATTTTTCCAAATACAGCTACTTTTGCTGTTTTGCAATTCATCTGTAAAAGGAAAATATCTCTTCCCCCCCAAGTGAGCGATTGTAGATTTTTTCTCAAATTGTATTTGATCACCGAGTGAATTTAGTGCTCGCTCAAGTCCGTGGGCTGACTGCTTGGAAATGGCTCTGCCTGTCTTTGGAGAAGTTATGGCAGAGACGGCAGAGACAGCAGCAGAGCAATTGCCACAGATTATTTCCCAATCTGCTGCCGGCCTCCTTTGGAAGAGCACCATCATTTCAGCCTCCATTTCCACTTTTTGCTGAGGCTGCTGCTTACAAAGATACTAATTGCGATGGCGGGTTTTATGTTAATGGGTTCCACGTAATGATCAGCCCGACGACTACAGACCTACAGATTGTTGGTTGGCTGTGCTGGGAATAAAACTAATGGCATTTGGTTATGAAAATGTCAGACCTCTACGTGGTGATCTAAACTGGGGGCCCAGTGGGACCGAAATCCAAGAGCCTCCACATGACTGCTGTGGGGCTGGACCCAGGGATGCCCTTGGAGGAGAAAGCTCCTTCTCCCCCAGAAGTGCCATGCTTTGAGGGAGGGCAGCTCCTTGCTGGGATGATGCTGGAGGGGATTGGGGTGCCTGGCTGGGGTACCCCCTGCTCTGGGGAGAGGGCGTGGGGTGCTCGGGGCCACAGCCGGGCACGGAGCAGGGATGGAGCTGCGCGAGCCTCCGAATTCTGACTAACGCCGTAACCGGTTTGGTAGCTCTAAAATAGGATTTTAATCCTGGGAAGCATCATTTCACATTCCAGTGATCTAATCAAAATCCTTTCCTCTAATCTCTCCATGGTCCCCCCTTTCTAGATGAAAGAGGCTGGAGTTCCTGTCTTCACCCTTTCTCCGCTGCCTCCCTGTTCTACCAGTCTGTTCTGTGTCCAGGCAACTGCAAAAAGACATTTCAAAGGCTCCTGCCGTGCCATGTAGATGTTTTCTCTTGTTAGTTTGGACTGCAGGTGTGTAAGCCTCAAGGATGAAGTATCGTGGTGCTGTTTTAGGTTCGGGGCACACAGTCATGGCACAATAAATCACACGGGAACGCTCCGCTTTGAACGCGCACACACAGAAAAGGGAAAAGAAAAAAGCATCTGACCTGAATCATTTTCTGGAAACACATCTGGTTAAAATCCAAAGTTTTAAATTGAGTAATATTTTAAAATACATTTGGTAGGTATTAAATTACAGTGTTATATCTGGTAATATTTATGATACTAATGTGTTAAGCGGAGGTTTATATCTGTCAAGAAATATGAATGATTGTCATATGGGGTAACAAATGAATCCTGATATAAATAACATTTTATGATATTTTTAACATTATTGTAGTATTTTTTTTCCAGAAGTTACATTATTGCCAATTTGAAATAAAAGCTCTGTGGCTGCATACCGAAGCTTTTAGCTATGTAATTTTGAATAAGTATAAAGCAGTACGGCTGATTTGGGGAATTGCTGAGAAACCTTAACTCTGCCGGAAGACAAACGCTGAGCACCTATAATTCCTATTGTCTTCCATGCAGGATCAAGTCCCTCGTTTGCCATTTTGTGTGGCAGCAAGCCCAAGGAAATCTTGCTTGACAGCTCTGTTTTCTCAAAGTGCTGCATTTCTTCGGGCTGGATTCTGCAAAGATCCTGCAGGCTACAGAGCTCCTTGGAGCAAGCGATAATGTGCTTTGTGTTCCTGCTGAAATGTACCTGTGTACAATGGGAGAGGGAGCTTGGAAAACTGGGTGCATCCTGGCAAAGAAGATGGTTAGAATAAAGTTTTCTTGGGTTGTTATGTTTTGAGGAATCATTCTCATCTGTTCGTTTGAGGAAGGTTTTTCTAAAGTTAGATTTGATCTGTGTAAATGCTAACTTCTTTCAGTGGGCACTAATAGAGCACTGAAAAAGGAAGCACAGTGGATTTGAAGTTTAAATCTCAAATGGTGGCAGCAGCTAGTACTGCTTGATACCTCCAAAATAATTTTAAGTATGTTGTACAGATTTCTTTTGGGGAATACGGGTGAAAATTTGTTGCTTATTAATATCATAAGATCTCACTGAAACAGCTCTTTAATTAACATATTTGCACTTTGGTCTATCACAGAAAATTATTCTTGTGATTTTAATGTCATCATCTGGAGCACTGAGAAAAATGGATCTTTAGTCCAAAGGTCCCAAACTGTTGGGAACAGTTCCCTAGCATGGCTGCTGCCCTGGGCATCAGTCTGCATTCATGAGGGTATTTTCGACAATGAGTCCAGTATTGATCACTGGACTTGGGCTTCTCTTTGCCTTAATGAACTTGCTTGATTTTCTTGGCCAGGACACTGAAAGATGAGGTGCTGCTTCTCCCAGCACCTGTAACTTTTGGGTCTCTTCTCCAAGGATTCTTGTGGGTTTTTTCTTCTCATTTTCATGTAAACTGACTCCCAAATTTATATCAGTGCCCTAAAAGAATTCCTGCAGAGCCTTCTCTGTACCTCTGTCTGTTCCTTGTCCAGCCCCTTCCCTTCTCACTTCATGGCTCTCATCTTTCCATTTCCTTCAGCTGATTCTTGTCCCTGGTTCCTGTGCCTGCTGGAAAGGAGCTCCTCATTCCAAAATCCCAGCCCTCTCCACTGTGGAAGTGCCCTTCTGTTCACCTTAAACTGGATTTGGGATATCCTTTGCTGCTCTGTGCCATTGCACAGCAGGATTCCACAGGGATGGCAGGGAACAGAGACAGCCAAACAGATAATTTATGTTCCTGGGAGATTTAGTCCAAATTAAGATCAAAACTCATATATGTCTTCCAAATCACCGATTTTTTTCCCCCAATTATTGTCAATGACTCTAATTCTGCTTGATTTATATCCCTGCTAGTAGCCAGAGGTTTTGCAGCACATAAATTGCCTGAGGGTTTGGCCAGTGATGTGGATGCTGTGACACATAGAAGCTCAGGAAAGTCCCTGAGCAGAAAATGGTTGGAAACAGGGAAAATAGCAGGGAGAAGTGTCCCCCATGCCTGCACACGATTACCTGGGTGTCCAGCTGTGGTCACTCAGCTGGATGGACCCCTGTTATCTCAACCAGCATGGCAGTTCCCACATTCTTTGGTAAATTGGGGAAGTTTTGGCAGAAATCATATAGATGGCAGCACACATAATCCAAGCACAAAATCCTGTGATTTCTGTTAGCCTGTGAGCACAGATTCACTCTGGCAGGTGGAAGAGAAGAAAGCAATTCTCACAGAGGGCAGGGAAAACAGCCACAATTAAAAGCAAAGTAAATTTGTGTGGTGTGGTTACTTGCTGGTTAACTCTGGAGACGTTTATGAGGATCCAGCATAACCCACAACAGACCTTCCTTGAGGATTTGTGGAGTAACCCACACCAACACAAACATGGGATGGCACTGCAGGGGTGTCTCTGAATGTGCAGCAGGAGTTACTGAAGACCCCAAAAGAGCTCCCCCAATATTTCTCTCAAACAGCTGCTTTTCTCACCAAATGTTCCATCCAGATGTGTGGTGGTGTTTTGGCCAACATCTGGAACAGCAGAAGGAATTAGAGGAGGAAAGGATCTATTGGGTTATGTGTTCCCTGGAGCTGGAGTGAGTAAATTTGATACTGAATTTCTCTCAGGGTATGGTTCACCCCAGTTTTAATTTGTCAGCACTGTCCTTGCCTTCTCATCCTATATCCCATGCACAGGATGGTACCAGAGCCAGGATTTTGTTGGATGGGAGGCAGATTGAGTCTTTTTCTGGCCTCATGCTCCATGCAGACTCTTCTCTCTGGCTTAGGCTGGTCTTGATTTGGGAATTTAGCTTTTCTGCCCTCTAAAGGGATCAGACAAGTTAGTAGGTTATATTGCCAGAGAAAATTCCCACTTTTTTTCTCACTTGAAAAATTTCATATTTTTTACCTTTTACTGGTTTCTCTTAGTGGTTTGGGGGTTGGGTGTTGCACATCCTTTTTTTTTTTTTTTTTTGGTGGTATTTAACTTTTGCTATTCCTATCATGAACCCTCACCCACTTCATGCAGCCACTTCCTCACTTCAGGTTCTTGCTGTTCCCCTCTCCCTCCCTGCTCAGGTCCATTTTGGCTGTGCTTTCTCCTCCAGTAAGTGTCCCAGCCAGGTAGTTCTCCCAGTTTCTGCTGAATCTTCAGCTCCAATATTCCACATTTTACTTTAGAACAAGGATCTGAAGCCTGCGTTATTAGTTTAAATGCCTTTTTGTGTTCTGAACCTCACCTGGGCTTATTCTGTTAGTTTGTGCCACTGTGCTAGTGGCAGGAGGGCTGGTTTGGTGGTTGTGGCTGGGGACAGCAGCTGTGACATGGAAGGACTTCGTGACATGAAGGGACTCCCTGGATCCTGCCTCAGTTTCTCCATTCTGCACAGCATCAGTGGGCACTGCGAGATCAAAATCTCGTGGTGGCTGTGGGGCACCTCAAGGGTTGCAGGGCGAAGGAGGAGGAGGAGAAGTACAAACAAAGCAGCTCAGAGCTCTCCCTCACCTCCAGTTCCCCTTTCCTTCCCTTCCACAGAAGTGGGTGAGTGCAGAGCTGAGCTGCCCTGGCAGAGGAAAGAGAAGAAAGGTTTTTCTTTCACTTTCCAAACACAAACACTTCACGTGGGTCGGAAGAAGGGACATCCCTCTGCCCCTCTCCTCAGCTGGGCTTTCTGCTCCCGTCGTCCCCCAACAGTGGTGATGTCCCTTGGTGTGTCCCCCATGGGCACCCGAATTGTGAGCTGTGGTGTTTTGGGTGTCAGAGGTGGTTTGTCCTCCAGTAACGAGGGTGAGGTTTCATTTGGGGAAGCACATCTTTTCTTAGAAATGTGAACACTGTGACTGACTTAGCACAACTGTGATTTTCTGCAAACACAACTGTGTTTGGGGTGGTTGCATGTGAATGCTGGGGAAGGAGAAACAGTAATTCTGAATTAATGCACAAAGGGAGAAAATAGACTCCCTTAGAGGAAGCCCCGAGTTCACTGCAGCTGCCACACACTGCAAATCTGGTGCTGTGTCCCACAGGAAACCTTTCCACGTGGAGCACCTCCTGTTTGAAGAGATCATACCTGCGCTGTTGTGACACATGGGTGAGCCAAAGTGCTGGGGGGAGCACATCAATCCATTCTTTCTTCAGTAACATGTATGAAATAAATTGGATTTTTCTCCCCCTGGTGTTGCATCATTTCCTATTTGGCGTCCAGATGGTGACAGATTACCAAACAGGGGGAAAAAAAAATCCATGTAATATTTTGTATCTAAACATTACCTTCTTCTTTGAAATAAGGAGATCCAGTTTTATTCTGGCCGTGATTCTCTACATTTATGTGCTGGCCCTTGTCTGCATCTGCTTGGCATTATCCTGGATTGGGGCTTTAACCTGCTATGAATCCAAAGAAATTATATGGAATTGATGGGATCAGTGTGAATTTCCAGGGGTGTAGGCTAGTGCAGACTCCATCCTATTAATCTTGTTGTGTTCTTTCTGTAAATAACAAGCTGGATTCAGCCCAACAAGAGTAAAACAAATTGGAAGCATTCATAAAGAGAAGTAAATGGCTTTAAGATGTAAGAATAACGTATTGGTGGGTTGTCTCCAAGAATCCAGTTTTTAAAGGTACCAAAGCACACACAAAACTTTAGTTTAATGTGTTCTTAAGTGGCTGCTGTGTGGGGCTGGCTGCTGAAGCAGGGCCATGGGCATAAGACCTGCTTTCATGAAGGGATTATACAAAAAAGGAAAAATTGCAAGTAGGAGAAAAATGTTCAAGGGCAGCCAACCTGGAGGAAACAAATACAATTTAGTTGTGTGAAGTGTTTATAAATGCAGTTTATGAACATGTATGAAGGAGTAATTTTTTACTTTTCAGACTGCAACTGTAACACAGAAAAGAAACAATTGCTTATTTGTCCTTTTCAGGGACTTTCAGAGAATACTTTGCAGTTTGGCTACATATTTTGACCTGCTTTTTCCTGTTTAATAGCTTGTTGTTCTGTTGATTATTTCAGATTAGCTTTTTGTGTGCGCTCTTCTTTATTTGTGATTGATAGGGAAACATTTACATGTTGTAAAAAACAAATTACATGGTTTATCTGAAAGTGGAAATTGATTTAAAATTTTGTTCGAAGTTTCAGATTTCTACATGCATGGGCTACCAAATTTCGTCTATCAGTCTCACTCCTTGGTTCTCTTGCATCATCAGAATAAATGTGAAATGACACAGAATGCCTGGAATTGCAATAATGCAGTGTAACAGAACTGACTATCAAGCTTCATATATAGATTAGATTAATGCATAAATCTAATTTGATATTTTACATTACAGAGCTAATATTTTACAGATGTAATGCCAAGTTGTTAAGTAAATGAAAATCACGGAGAGTCCAATTCTGAAAGGATTACTCAGGCAAAAATCCCTGCAGTCAGAGGGAGTATTGCCTGAACGAAGACTGCAAAATTAGAACTAGAGCCATATTCCCCAAACAGACAAGCAGATTTATCTGTGAGATCTGCCCAGGAGTTGAATTCTTGTAACAATGAAAGATATATAGGGAAAACGAGCAAGTAGGTAACCTGAAATATAAGGAGAGACTGATAAGATCTGAGCAAGCACTTGTGTGGTTGGTGATGTCAACAGGAGCCCAAGTTGTTTTAATAAACTTGTTCATAGTTGTCCTATAGTGTGTTTTATATACTGAAGTACATAGATCACGTAAGAGTTTAACAAGAAGAGGATTCATA